GCATTTAACCTCTTCAAATAGCACATTAACAAAGAGCACCAGAGGAAAAGTCTGGGATGAACAGTTTTAACAATCTATGGAAAGTTATGTCAGACAAGTTGCTGCGTGGGCTCACCTCTCAGATGGTATTTCCAGCTCTTTGTTCAGCAGATCACAAAGCAATTTGGAGTAGACCTTGTTCTCCTGCTCCCCTCTCTTGCCAATGCTGTGGAGAAAGCATATAGCACAAGGGTCTGTGGAGCCACCAAAGGACATCATCTGATCAGGAGAGATCTGTGTTGCTAGATACTGTTGGAAGAAGAAAAGGAATATTTTTTTCCTTTGCCATATTAAGAAAAGTTTCGAAAATCCAGGAAGGCATTTATGTACCTGAACTGCAGTGAAAATAAGTGCATGCTTTTCATGTGATGTCTTACTGTCTAGATTTGTGTTCTACTCCAAGACAGTCACTGCTGTGTCAAGCTGCAAAGACACCATAGTATTTAGGCTTGGGAGTCTTGGTTCCTAGTCCAGGTGTTCCAGGAGTTCAGTGACCTGCAATATCTCCAGAACCTCTTCCAAGCCACCAGGCCCTCCCTGCCCGTGTGGGAAGGTCAGGGATGGGGGGGGTGCAATTGCATTGCTGCCACACTGCGTTCCAGAGAGATTTTGCACCTCACTGGCTCCTGCTGCAGTCTTCCCTGCTGAGGTAAATGTGAACTGACACAGCAGAGGTCTAAATCAACATCCCCCTCATTAAACAAAATACAGCCTAATCCTACTTTTGTTCTTGATATCAGGAAAAATAGAAGAAAGTATCTATGTTAATATTAATGACCAGCCTGCGATTTTCCCTGCTGCTAATACACAGTGTCAGATCCACACTCTGGGGAATCTGGGGATCAATTCCTTTGGCACCCATCTAGCTTCTGTCCTGTTCTTACCCACGTTTATTAGCAGCGCATCGTTGGAACTCAGCAGCAATTAACCCTCTTGGTAAAACAAGCCAGCCTGAGTACCAGGAGTTGTCTGGGTAATTAGTCTTGGCCATCATTTACAGCTTGTTTGGGTGCAAGGTGCATCAGACCACAGCAGTACAGGATAAGCCAAGGAGATCATACTGAGGTACCTCTCGCTGTTCTTCCCTGCCTGGACACTGTGCAGTCTCAACTTAATGCCAAATGTAGGTACATGTATGTCTTTAACATCTACCCTGGAAGCTGGTTATTATTATTTAAAAAAATAATAAAATCAAGCTAAAGCATTAATTGGCATTATTTTCTTCTTAGAGCAGTTTGAAAATATTTCCAGTAGTTCATCCAGTAGGAAAAAACCCTATTTGATTAAAAATCAGTATGTTTTTCAAGTGGTACAGTTTCCTGTGAGAGGAAAGCTCTGCATTCCAGCCCAGCCTAATCCTTTCCTTCTTTCTGTGTTATAACTAAGAGACTCTCCCTTTCCTATTGCCTCCTTTGTCACGAAAAGCTTGTATGTCCTCTTCAGAAAAATCTCTTTGTTATTCCCTGTATATTTCTAGGTCCCGTTACATATCCTTTCCACACAGCTGCACAAACCTGTTCCAGCTGCATCCCAGCCCTGGCCTCTAGCTTTATATTCAGGAGCTGTTATGCAAGAACCACCAGCTGACACACCCCCATGCCCCCATCAGCAAGTACTTGTTTGCTAGACTGATAAAAAAACCAGTGGCTTTTTTTAAGATTGATAGAACACACCAGTTTTACATAAGAATACTAGTTTTTTGCTAGATGTCCAAGCAAGCTGAATGACTCATGTTTTAATTCAACTGTAACCATCAGGCTACAGGCAATTGGATGGCAGATAACAAGCACTTATTCAGCAGGTCTCAGTGAGGAAGTTGGGGGTGACTTTCGCTTTCAATCAGCCAGATTCTTGAGGTATTCACAGAGATACCTGTGCACACACACCACACACATCCTGAGTCTTCACCCACACAGAGACCTATAGTGAATATCATCCAACACAAAGCTTGTTTAGATACTTCAGTGCTTTGAGACCTCAAGTTACAGCAAACAAGTATTTGATATTTTCACAGAGAGAGGACTGAAAATACTGGTGAGTCATTAGGCATATTAGTTCATCAAGGCTATCACTGAGAAGTGGCTCACTGCACAGGCACAACTGACTAAAGAAGGAAAACATTGGAGCATCTGGACTTACCTGTGCTGGTTTGTCCAATGCTTTTGATAACTGTTGGGTCAGCTCCCCTGTAAAAGATTCTGGAATCTTATCCTTGCTTGTATTTGTGTTAACAATGAATTTAGGCATCTTTGGATCACAAGCAGGTTTTCTTTCACAGCTTTGTTTCTAACTCACCTGCAAGCTGGCTCCCCCCACTGTGCTGGTGAGCACCTCGGGAGCCTTTAAATAGTCGGTGATACTTTCCATAGGTGCACCAGGAGGGGTGGGAGTGCCTCGGGAGAGACAAGGCTGCATGTGCCATCTGCAGGCTGCTCACACAGACTGCCAATGGACTGTCCTGGGAGGGAACCTGGCTTTTGCACTCTGGAGACCAAAGCATCCAAGGTGACACTTCGTATTTGGATACAGCCTGACTGTGAAACCAGTGAAAAAATGAGTGTTACAGAGTTATAATGTACCTCTTTATGCAAGTCTTATAATTATTAAAAAAAAAAAAAAAGAGGTGGATGAGTCAGTTGTGAGGTCTGGAACTCTTTCTGTGGAATAGACCATAACAGAAAAACCCCAGCAGCACATGTTGTGCAGACCTTTCCTGAACCATGACTAAGTCATGACAAAGATGCCTTAAAATCAGGATCTTGATTTTCCACTGTGGTGAGCACTGGTTTCTACACTCTTGGAGAAGGCTTGTTTTCAACTTGCTCCTTTGTTGTGCAAATAGTCCCATAGCAGTCATAACTCTTGAGAGATAGGAAATCCACAGGCATTCTGACATGAGAGGCTTTTATCCAGAGTGGAGTATGTGGCAGAGCTGGGATCAGTTCTTATTGCTGCTTAGTTGAGCCTCACATGAGAGAAGTGATTTAGAGGGATCATATGGCACTGGGTAGGGGGTGTTTGCAGTGAGATGTGTGGGGAGAGCTTGAAAATGCTGATGGGAGTAAAATAAATGGTTTGTTAATCTCTCTATGCTAAAGGTGATGAGTGTCTTTATGCCCAGTAGTTTCTGAGGTAAGGCCTTTTCTACTCACTTGATTCCCCAGGCTGTGGAAAAGAGGAAGAGCTTTCTGCAGCTTGGACTAAATGTTTGTACTGTAATGGTGTAATTTAAGCCAATACTTTTTAAATGGTGAAAGCCTCTATAAGAACATGCTTAAACTGATTTTGTTCAAGGTCAGGCCTGGGCCCTGAGCAACCCAATCTGGTGGGTGACATCCCTGTCCATGGCTGAGGGATTGGAACTGGGTGATCTTTAAGGTCCCTTCCAACCCAAGCCATTCTGTGATTCTATGGTTGTGTGGTGTATGTTGGTTTTAAGTCAGTTCCTTCACTGTAGCTCCCTTGCTGTAAAAAAGTCAGTAAATAAAAAGTTAGGAGATGAATTACTATGTGTCAGTGTTCATCTACAGCTCATGTCAGTGGGTTGTGTCTCCTATATGCAAAGCATTCTGAAAATAATGAAGACCCTCAAAAAACACCAGAAGTAAAATCTGTTTCTATGAAGGGCCTTTTCAGAGCACATTTCCTTAGTCAGTGCATTAAAAACAAACTCAAGGGACACCTGAATCTGTAAGGAGAAGAACTGTAGTTTTTAATACTGATTATTTTTTTCTTCAGTGGTTAGTGGAAAGCAGGTGGCATGACCCAAAGCTTTTAGTCACAAATTTTGTCACAAATATACTTGTTAGTGGTCACTTGGAAAAACTTAGGCTATTTCCAATGAAATTCACAGCCTATTTTTACTGCTGGGTACAATAATCACTCCTTTCTTGCAGCTTGCTTACATAACAAGAAAAACATTTCCAAAACAAACTCTTTCTTCTCTGAAAACATCTGATGTAATTCCCAGAAGCTGATGTACCAGGTTGGAAATCAGTTCCTTGGACACCACAGATGCTCTTGGGAATGTCCTTTACTTTACTTTATAGCAGCCATTTCTCTTCTTTTGCATACAATAATATGTCAGTTTGAGAGGTCCTTCTCCCTGCCTAGAGTTACTGGGATGTTCTCCACTGAGCTTTCCATTTCATCTGCAGAAGGTTTGTTGCACAGTACAATTTCACTTTCAATATTTGTTTCTGTTGTCATGCTGGAACCTTTTTTCCTCATTTGCTGTGCTGAGTTTTTAGTCCATGTCTGCTCAGGTCACCCTAAATGCCATATCCAGCTTTTCCTCTGTCTGCCTGCTAGCCAAGTATTTTAGACTTCTGTTTCCCCATCCTCATGACATTTAGCCTTCTTAATCCTTCTTTCTCTTGGTTTGTCCTTTTAAATTATTTTACTTAGTCTTTCATATTTCTGATACTCCTCTCTGAGCTGTTTTCCAGCAGGCTCCTGGTTATGAGGTACTTGCTGCTAGTGAGGTCTCCTTTAGGAAAGGCCACTAACAGACTGCTCAGGTATCTGTGGCACTGGGCAGGACTCTGGGAACAGGGGACACCAACTGAGGCCCAGACCTGTGGGTCCAGGACTTTGAGCAGAGCCTGTGTGCATGGTCTTCTTTGGGTCCTGTGGACTGTTCACAGAATGTTTTAAAAATTCTTAAGATGTACTACCATAAAAGGGTTTTTAATGGGAAAAAACCCTCTATGTCTTGAAACTGAGTGGGGAAATTTCCAGCAAAAACCTTTAGAAATAGAACTCCAGAAATAGAACTCTAGCATGATGAGTTTCATAGCTATTAAAAAAAAAAAAAAAAAAAAAAAAAAGGAAAAGAAAAGGAAAAGGGAAAAGAAAAAATAAATGAGACAGAAGATCTTGCAGTCTGGTTTTAATGTTTCCTTTTTAGTTCTGTTGCAACATTGTTTCCTGTCTTTTCTAAGAGATGCAAATTTCTCCTCTGAACACTCAGAGCTTCGTGCAAGCCAACTGCTCCTTAGGAAAGCTATTTTCAGTGAAGGAGGTTTCTTTTTTCCCAAAGTTTAGTTTGTTGAACTCTGCTTTTATTTCCATGATTGACTTTCCCTTGGTCTCAGGAAGATACAGGTAAATGAAAATTGTTGATAAAGCAACAATTGCCAAAAAGATGAGGAAGCAGAAGGGCCCAAGGTTATCCTGCAAGCAGAAATGAGACACTGTAAGGAAAATAAGAATCTCATTTCTGTTTCCCTGCCTTTTACTGCAAGCCCATGTCTTTGAAATTAAATTTAAAAGTGTGCTCAGTACACAATCCAGGACAGGTATCAAACCAGGAGTTTCCACTGGCCATGTTTGACCTGAGTCCTGTTGCTGCTCCTCTGACAGGCTTGGAGAGTTCCTGAACAGGTTTGGTATTTGGACAGAGCTCTAAACTTTGCATGTCATTGCAATTTATTGCTGTTATTTTGCTCCCTGTCAGCATTCAGAAATGGATTCTCCTGGAAGGAGGGATCCACTTAGAGTCACTTACAACAAGCAGTGGAAAAATCATCCCAAGTACGAACAGTCCCATCCAGTTGATACAGCCAACAATCAGAAAGGCTGATGGTCTGTGTGACTGGCTGAAGATTTCAACCATGACAGCTGCAGAGGCTCCAGCTGAAAAAGAAAAACCAAACACAAACCAGGCATATTTGTTTCCTTGCTCCTGCTGAAGTTCCTCCCAATGGCAGTGGCAGATGACAGACAGGTAAAATAGGTGACCTGTTGGTAGGTGGCCACTGCTATGAGGGTGAAAGACCTTGATTCCAGAAATGGACTGCAGCTGTTAATTTAGGTTTCTCTCATGTGTACCAGAATTGTTTTTCTGGTACCAGTGGGTCTGTGCAGTTCCACTTTGCACTGGTAGCCATTAGTGGTGCAATGATTTATAAAACCAGCTCCCCTTTTGGCTCCTGGAGTCAGTTCCACCTGAAGCATTTTGTTAGGCATAAGCTTAACTTGCTAGGTTAATGAAGATGATTACTATAACATGTAGGCAAGATGAGTACTGTGACGTACATTGCAATGCTTAGATTCCTGTTTTTAGCTGAGTAGTTTAAAAATAATTCTGAAATTTCATTCTCAAACCCTCTGGAGATGATACTGCGTTTTAAATTATTTAGATCTTGTGATCAGCAATAAAATCCAAGGTGTCTATATCCTTTCCCTGTTTCCCACTTGTACATGTCTGTCCTTCCTTCCTTGATTTCCAAAACTTTTTCACTGTGGCACTAGTCTGTTCTTCCTTTTGCCAGTTGTGTTACTGGTACAAAATTTCCTCCCAAACAGCCATTGCTGTACTCACATGGTCCACTTCCATAGAAGACAACGAACAGGAAGATCAAGATAATGCTGAAGTAATTCATCCAGAAAAAACGATGCTGGGGGTGAGAAACGGGTGATATCAAACAGTTAGACATGTGACAGCATGGCAGAGCTCTGTATTTTCTGCCACTGGCTCAGGTTTTTGTACATATGCTGTGAGGTAAGACTGGAAAGGTGCTGAGTAAGGGGCCAGAAGGCTGCTGCCTCCTTACCTGCAGGGACAGGGTCATGGTAAGCAGTGCTAGCACAGAACACATCAGTGTGTATCCTCTCCAAAGCAGCACCTTCCTCCCAAACCGGTCTATGAGGGTGCTCTGAAAAGCAGAAAACACGGGTCATAAATCCCAGTTCTCAAATTAAATAATTCCTCCTCTCTCCATATATTCTTTGCAGAAGACTTATATGAGTAATATCCATAAATCAATGTCATTTAAGTCTCTTAATTCCTAGTGAATTAGATTAACTTTTTCAAACTAATTTATGATTAACAAAGCTGTGTTTATTAGTCAACCTTAGGCTGGTTTTAGACAGTTCCCTTTCTTGCCTGCTGGCATATGTCGAATTGTGCACAGATACATATCCACACCTAATCCAGAACATCAGAAAATTATTTTACAGAATAAAATTTAGTCTAAAGACATACACTCATGCAAGTAATCTGGAACAAAAACTGCCTTTTCTCCTGCATGTGGTTTTGCAGAAGCAGGAAGATGTGTCTTAGGTTATGCAAATCTCCCCTGAACCCAGTCATAGGAAAGGAAAAGTACAATTGTTGACCACATTCAATTTTTCCTTCAAACTCAAGCCTGAAAAGACTTACACACAGTATAGAGGATAACCATTCACACAACCCAATTCCTATGGATGCATATGGGATAAGGTATTCTTCAAACTTGGCTGTG